CTAATCATAGTGGGGCACTAGCCATAGTTAGAAAAATGTTAGTCATCCTTTACAATGTTGGTCATGACTGCTTTGTTCTGACTAAAGAAAAGCCTACTCTGACCTGGCTGGGAGGCGTGCGCCTCGGGAGCTTACCTCGGGAATGCTGTCCACCCTCCTAATCTGAGGACAAGAGGGACTACCTGACCTCATAGAGAGATTAACAACCTGGTTATCAGAACACTGGACACTGGACCAGTGACTGTGACTCACTGGAGACCAGCCCCTGTAGCCCCAGGCCCACATTCCTTCTCTCCTTCTTCCCAACCATATTTTACAGACTAAACAAGATATGATAAGCCCCCCCCACCCCCGCACATCTGCCCTTTACCCCCAAATGCCCTGTGAAAGAGCAACTCACTCTTTCTGCTCTACCCTTGTATTGCCAGTCAGTGTAATGGGTCCTTTCTCTGTCTATGGGGAAAGTTAGTAAAATTTCCTCCCTTTTCTGTCTTCTCTCAGTTGTGAATTCTCACACAAGCCCAAGTCACCGGCTAAACAAAACCCTAACAATTATTATGAACTTCATCTGCTCTGGAGGGAATTCTTTAGGAAACACTCCAGGAGTGTATGGAACTAAGGAAATTATATGCATTTTAGCTATTGTTTCTCAGGGTTCCAGAAGAAACCTCTGACTGAGCTGATGACACAACAATGCCTTTGACTGAACTACAAAAACTAATGCATGAATTCAGGTACGCTTTTATACTGTGGCTTACCGTGCTGCTTCTGTGGAGATTGGGCTTGTTTGAGAGACAGAAAACCTAGCTGGGGTCAGACCAAGCCCCAAGCTGCCTAGTAAGCTTGTTAGGAAATGTCATTCCTCCTCTTTAAAATATTCTTCTTTTTTTTTGTGAGCTCAATAAATTTATTAAAAAGATGATTGATTAGGAAACAGAAACTAGTCCTTAAAAAATAACCATAACCCCATTTTGGACTCTACAGTGTGATAATTATATTTCCAAAAACTCTGGAAATGATTATAGAAGGATGAGTTTTAAACAAAGACATTGAAATTATTTCTTAATATTGGGGATGTAGCGAGTTGACCATATACCATTTATTATTATTATTCTTGTTAAATGTTTTTATCATATAAGTATCAACTCTGACCTGTAAGTTACATGAGAGAGTGGTACACATCTGTTTTGTTCATGTTGATCTCCCTAGCACTTACTATGTATTAGCAGTTAAATAAATATTGGTTAAACTCTTTAAAATATTCTTGAAGTGTAAAATACATATCAAAAGTGCACAAATTTTATAAGTACAACTTGATGAATTTTCACCAAGTGAAAACACCATCATAAAACAGAACCAAAGCTCTAGAAGCCCCCTCCCCCTGCCTCCAAGAGCAACCACTATCCTGACTTCTAACTCCATAGATTAGTTTTGCCTGTTTTTGAACTCCGTATAAATGGAATCATGCAGAATATACTAAAAAAAAAAAGAATCTCTGGCTTCTTTCTCCCAACATTATGTTTGAGATTCACTGATGTTTATGCAGGCAGCAATATTTCATTTTCACTGCTGTATAGAATATTGCACATATATTGCAACTGTATACCACAGTCTATCCAGTCATATTACTTTTGATGAACATTTGGGTTGTTTTCAGTTTGGGGCTATTATAAATGCAGCTGCTATGAACATTTGACTATATGTTCTCTTAGGAATGAAATTGCTGGGTCTGGATATCTATGTTCACTTTTAGTAGATACCAACAGTTTTCCAAAGTGATTGTATCAATTTATACTCTCAGCAGCAATGTAAGAGAGTGCAAGTTGCTTAACATCCTCATTAGCACTTGGTATTGTCTCTGTTTCTTTTTAGCCACTTTAATGAGCATGTAATAGTATCTTATTGTAGTTTTAATTTGCATTCCCATGATGACTATTGAAGTTGAGTTTATTGGTTATTTGGATATCCTTGTTTGTGAATTACCTGTTGAAATTTTAGCTTAGTTTTGTATTGAACTTAAAAAAAAAACACACAACTAGTTGTCTTTTACTTACTAATTTACGTGAGTTCTTTATATATTCTGGGTAAGACTCCTTTGTTGGAGATACCTACATCTAGAACTTTATGTTTGCCTTTTTATTTTCTTAATAGTGTCTTTTATAATCGAAGGTGCTTAATTTTTTTTTTAATCCTCACCTGAGGACATTTTGCTCTATCTTCAGATAGAGCAGGAGGGAGAGAGGAAGGAAGAGAGAGAGAGAGAGAGAGATTGACATAAAAGGGACACATCGGGTGGCTGCCACCCACACGACCCCAACCAGGGCCAGGTACAAACTGCAACCGAAGTACGTGCCCTTAGTGGGAACTGAACCTGGGACTCTCCAGTCCACAGGCCAACTCTCTAACCGCTGAGCCAAACTGGCCAGGGAGAAGGTGTTTAATTTTAATTTAACTCTATTCATCTTTTCTTTTATCTTTAGAGCTTTTTGTGAGAAGGTGTCTTTTGTATAGCAAATCCTTTTTGGTGCAACTCTTCACCTGTCTGGGAGAAATCCTTGTTTGGCTCCTGCCAGGTGTCAGTCTCAGTGGTTTTACTGTGGCTAGTCATCCATACCTTGTCAAAGAGGTGTTTCTTGCTTCATTGGCTCGACTTTGTTCACCTGACATTTTGTCCGGTACTGTTTGACTGTGTTCTGCTTCCGCCAGATGACTAAATCTCGTCTAGTCCTTGGGTTGGATTTCTTAGTATCAGCTACAATCTGGCTGGCCAGACTTGCCAATTACCCACTCTAATTAGCTAGTTTTAACATTCCTATTTCTAATTTTATCCTCAGTCTCTCTCCTGGTTATGGATTTGCAACAGCTGCTGGCTTAGTTGCCCGACTCTTTCTCTGGCGGGGAATGCTTCCAGCCCTTATATAGAATATGCCCTGGCTAACTTTTTTTTTTTTTTTTTACTTTGATACCTCAAAGTTAGGTGAATTTAGAGGATCAGAGGCCCTGCCAAAGACTTTTCCTAACTAAACTAATAGATTTCAATGTAGATGACTTCTAGCTGAGAGAATATAATAAGAAAACTTCTAAAAAACCTTAGTCAAAGCAATAGCATCATCTTCATGTATTAAGGGAAGCATTACTGTTATTTCTATTTGGGCACACATGATTATTACTAGGTATAATGACAAAGAGAAGGAAATAAGAATAAAAAAATAAAACCAAACCCAACGGGAGAGAAATAAGAGAGAAATACCAATACCTTTTCTTAGAATGCTGAAGACAATTTTGCTGAACTTACTAAAGACTGTGACACAAGTATCCTTCTTTATCACACACTAATCAGTCTGTTCATCATTTAGTTAAATATACTAGAGAACAAATTTGAGTGTTACCACAAAATTTATGTGGTATGTATTTTCTTTTAATTTTATTTCTTTATTGATTTTTAGAGAGAAGAAGGGAGAGGGAGAGAAAGATAGAAAAATCGATAAGAGAGAACACTAATTGGCTGCCTCCTGCATGCCCCCACTGGGGATTTGGCCTTCAACCTGGGCATGTGCCCTGACTGAGAGTTGAACCATTGACCTCTTGGTGCATGGGTCGCCGCTCAACCGCTGAGCCACACTGGCCAGGCTGTGGCAAGTATTTTCTCTGAAATTAGGTTTAAATTGAATTCTATTCATCAAGAGAAATTATTAAAGTCCTCATAATGTTGGATGTTCTGAATAATAATAATAAATGATATTTATTCAGAGCTTTTTCTGTTCTAGGCACTGTTCTTTACACATATTAACATATTTAATCCTCACAAAACTCCAGGAGCTCCAGAGTATTATTTTCAGCATTTTAGAAATGAGAAAACTGAGGCCCAGAGAAATGTGTCCAAGGTACTTCAGCTAGCAAGGAGCAGAGCCAGGATTTGACCCAGGCCGTCTGGCTTCAGCATCTGCACTCTTACCCACTAAGTCTCTAAAATTAGTATCAGCAATCTAACTTTAGTAGTTAAAAAAGCAATAAGAAAGAGATGTCTAAATTCCTTCTAAGAGATCTGAATATCACAGGAGAGGAGTCATAGCTAAGACTTATCAAGCCTGTACCATGTATCAGGTACTGGGGTAAACAATTTATATGCATGCTCTCTTAATTTCTAAAACAACACTGAAGTAGGAACTGTTAATTCTGGGTTAAAGATGACGCAGGCTATATATAGAGATTTATCCACTACTTTCTATAAGGTTAAACAATAAGTAAAATGTCTGACTCTAGAGAGTGTATATTCTGTGTTACCACTATGCTGCACTGTCCCCCAAGATGAGAAAGTTTCCCAAGTGAACTCCTTGGTATAGAGTCAAGAATACAATTTGATGTGGTACTATACTCGCTGGCTGAGTGTACAAAGAAGCAGCTGAAGAAGCGGAGGGAAAGACTTTGCTATTATGATGTGATGAACCCTATCTGAAAGATGCGATCCACATTTATAAATAAACTGATTGTCCAGCTGACTATAGTGAAGATAGGAAACACTTTATACGGGGTTCTCTTTGCTGGAGACTGCATGTGTTTGTCGAAAACCGTAGAACTATATATAAAAGTGGGTGATTATAATGTAAGTAAACCCAGTCTTTAAAAAATCGGACTTAAAAAAAAATTTGAGGATCCTACAAAGCTTTTAAAATAGTTTTTTAGAAAAATTTAAAATAGTTCTTTATTCATTTAAAAAACAATAAATTCACGAAATGTTAACATTAACAGTGTAGTTTTACTCCTTGTGCCTGTCTTAGTCACCGGCCCATTCTCCCTGGTCGGGCACAGCTCCCAACACCGAGAAGGCACTGGACCTTCAGTAGGTGCAGGAGCGCGGGCCCAGCGGAAACAGCAGGCACCCTCTGACCCCGCCTCCCCCCGCCCGCGCACGCCCCCCGCCCGCGCACGCCCCCGCGGCTCCCAGACACACGGCCCCGCCCCTCCGAAGCGGGTGCCAGGGCGCACGCGCAGGCTCCTCCAGGCCGCGCAGAAGAGCGCGCCTGCGGCTGGCCCTCCCCCAGCTCTCACCGCGTGAGCCCGGAACCCGTCGCCCCGGCTGCTTTGGTCGCCGTGGTAGGTCGTCGTCATGGCCTCTCCGTGGGATGAGCTGACCCTTGCCTTTTCTCGCATATCAATGTTCCCCTTTTTTGACATCGCCCACTACCTGGTATCCGTGATGGCGCTGAAGCGTCAGCCGGGTGAGTGCGGGGCGCCGCGGACCGGCCCCCTCGGGTGAGGACGGCCCCAGCCGGGGGAGCGGCCGAGCTGCCTCTCTCGAGTCCCCTCGTCGAGCTGGAGGGGCGCCATGGCCGGCTCCACCGGCCCCTCCGGTACGGATGGGGAGACAGGCTGGGAAGGGAGGTGGCACCGGTACTCGTCAGAGGAGGAGCGACCCGGGGTCCGCGACGCCTGGGGCTGACCCTCCGACACGGGAACGACGCCCCGGACAGGTGACCGGGAGGCGGCGGCTTGCGGGGTCCTGGCACCGCCAGTGCCCGCCCGGGATTTGCGCGGACTCCTGGTGGTGCCACCACCCCCCCGGACAGTCTGAAAGTCACCTGGGCACAGAGCTCCCAGAGACGGCGAGGCTGGCGTAGTTGCCCGGAGGAATGACCAGTTCAGGACCGCTCTCCGGTTATGCAAGTTGTGTAGACCAGAGCCTCACGTGGGCACACCGGCCAGCACACCTCGTTTTATTGCGCTTTGCTTTACTGGGCTTCACAGGCGGGCGTGGTTTTTTGTTTTGCCTTTTTTACCCCCCGCTCAAATCCAAGGCAGGACACCAGCCAAGGGATCGCCGCTAGCTTTATTGCTTTGGTGCGGTGGTGGTCTGGAGCCCAGGGCTTGGGGCCTGGGGGTCATGCTGCACCTCCTATGGGCTGTTGGTTCTGTTAAACCCCTTTACCTCCGAGGAGGTAGTTCTCATTTACACCGAAGTTTGTAGCCCAGTCTACGTCATTGTTTGGTCGAAAGTTTTGACCTGGATAAAGGGAATATTATTGTGTTAAATAAGGAGAGGTAATCTGCATAAGATTTTGCTTCCTTGATTTGAAAAGAAGTACATTTTCTTATGCCATATTTAGTAGTAGTTTATATTTTCTTGTGTAGGCTAAGTCAGAGGTTCTCAAAGTGTAGTCCGGGAACCCGAGGGGTTCCTGACACTTGCAGGTCAAAATTATTTTCATAGTAATATGCAGATGTTCTTCATCTTTTTTCGCACTCATCTTCTCACAAGTGTACAGTGGAGTTTTGCAGAGGCTACATGACCTGTGATACTATAACAGATTGAATGCAGAAGCAGATATGAGACTCTACCTGTCTTTTTTTTTTTTTAATCTTCACCCGAGGACATTTTCCATTTTTTTGGTCAGATAGAGTGGGAGGGAGAGAGAGAGAGAAACTTCAACATGAAAGGGACATATCGAGTGGCTGCCACCTACCTGCACAACCAACCAGGGCCAGGAAAAACTGCATCCTAGGTACGTGCCCTTAGCGGAAACTGAACCTGGGTCTCTTCAGACCTGCAGGCCAACCCTCTAACCACTGAGCCAAACCGTCCAGGGCTCCACCTGTTTTCTATTTGAAGCCACACCTTGAAGAAATTGCTAAAATATAAAACTGTTGTTTTCTCTGAATGGTTTTTACTTTGGAAAATAGCTATTTTTCATAAAGAATACATTATTTATGTTAACATTTAGTGCACATATTATTTTTAAAATGAACATATAAAGAACTATTTTAAAATCTTCTATTAAATTTCTAATATTCTAAATGTTGATTCATGAAATCCACATAAGCAAAAGATCTTTGAGGTCTTCAAGAATTTTTTTTTCCACTTTCAAGGGTAAAAGTTTTAATTTTGAGGAACTTCATGTTGCACATTTTCAAAGAGAGTCACATAAGCAAAAATGTTATTCTCCCCTCATCCTAGAAATAAGAAGGGCATACAATTTCTTTTTAAATCATGACACTTGGTAGTTTAGCACCAGCATCCAAAATGAACAGATGAGCGGAAAAAAAGCATTTACTATATATTTCAGATTTCTTTTGTTGGAGTTCTCCCCATGTGGTATTAATATCTTTTCAATTCATGTTACCAAAAGTGTAAAAACCAGGAAAAAAATATAAACCTAGTGGTTGCTGAAACAGGGGAGGTTGCTCTCTTGTCTTCTGTGTAGGCATTCTCTGAAAATTGCTGGAACACTGGCTGACATTCTCCTTTTGTGTTTGTTTTGTAAACAATAATCATAAACATTCCAATGTCCACATCTTGGTTATTCGTCTTCCACTTATTACTTGGATATTTCTTTAGTGTTGGTAAGGTCGTGGTCTCCTTTTTGTTTATTTTTTTGTATGGCCATTAATTCTTTAGGCCACCTGCTGATGGTGAAGGTGCCGAGGGAGCCTATTGTTACTCAGCACTGCTGTGCTTGGTGGCTGGAGCAGGGTTCTTAGATGGCACTTCACCTGCCTTGGTCTCTGCCATCTTGTGAAGGAGCATTAGGAGGACAGGAACAACGTGATAGTTGTATGGGCGCAGGTAGCTGCAGCGAGCAGATGGCTAGTTTGGACCATTGGCCAATTGTTGATTCTCTTGATCTTCAGCCTCTCCCAAAGTGGGGGCAGGTTGCAGGCAAGAAGGTCCCCTACGGTACCTTGGATGGTAAGTTGGATTTCGATGAACTGATCCCTGAAGTTGGTGCCCCCTCTGGCGCTCCATCCTTCATCTCTCCAATCTCATTGGTCTGCATTCTGTTGGGATGGGGAAAGACCCCTTAGAAGGTCAAAGGTCTATCCCTTGTGGTAAGGCGGGAACCACTGCCTGTACTGAGAGCAATACTGGGAGCAGTGCAGGTGACTTTGGGCCCCAGAGAACTGCCCATCAGTGGCAGGGGGGTCAAATGCTTCACTGCTGCTGCAAGAAATTATTTTAAGTCAGGCTTTTTAAAGGTTTAATTTGCATACATGATATTCACCCTTTTAAATGTAAAGTTCCCTGATTTTGGATAACTGCATACAGTCATGTAACCAACACCACAAACAGTTTCATCACCCATCCCAGATTCCCTCCTGCCCTTTTATAGTCAGCCCTTCTCTACCCCAGGCAAACATTTGTCTGCTCACTAATTTTTAGGTGTGCAGAGGAATCCTAAAACAAAAAAATTTGAGAACCACAGGACCAATCGAATGCTGTTCCATAATTGCACATGGTGTGAAAAATATTTTATATTCCAGGACCAATATTTGTGTACAGGTAAAAATGATAGAATTCACACAAAAGAGGATACTGTACCTATTTAACTTTTTACCAGGAGTATGTTAGACACATTATTGGCTTTTATTAGTCTTAAATATCTTGTCATTCTAATGATCAGAAAACATTTTTATTTGTGTCTGTCATGGTTAATAATGCATTTGTGTTTCTTAAGTTTATTGCTCATTTGTATTTCCACTTCTGTAAATCTGTTGAGTTGATTGTATTGTTTTTCCTATTTAAAAAATAATGTAATACATTTAAAAAAAATAACCCATCCTTAAATTCTTGGAATAAACTCTACTTGTTTGATGTATTATTTTAATTTTTTTAGGGATTTCGATTTGCCAATACTTTGTATCAATTTTTAGTTAAAATTGGCAACTTTTTCCTATGTCCTATGACTGATTCTCTAGAATTCAGACCTACAGTAAAATAAAACTATGATTCATCTATGTACGGTTTACCAGGGTTTTTCTTATCTTTATCTTCTCAAGCATGTTATTCCTTGAGACTCTGACTTTTGGAATATACTTTACCACTGCCAATACCTCAATCCCCACTTTCCAACTATTTACATCTTATGATTTGAAGTCTTTGCCTAGGTCTTCAAAAATATTAGTGGAAGCAATAGGGTAAAAGGGTACTAACTATTTCTATCTGTAGTGTAGATGAGGATAACATCCCTTTTTTATTTGGTTTGGGTTGTAGGCCTTCACATCCAAGGAAAGATGATGGTTTTCCCCCTTTTCTTTTTTTCCATGTGACTTGTGCTTTTTAAGCAAAGATATCAAGGTATTTAATAAATTCAGTTTATTTTATTTTTTTTTTATTTTTAGTTTACCTCTGTTTATCTCATAATTAACTTTGGTTCTTCCTAAAAACCCTGACATCTGATTGTCTGTGGTTTTCCGTTTTGGCTAGTAGTATAGCTTTTTGTTTTTTTGTTTGTTTGTTTGTTTCTGTTTTCCTGGGTTTTTATTAGGAAGTTGGAAAACACTGCTTTAGGAGCTGTTAGAAACCTTTTTTTTTTTTTTAATTCCTCACCTGAGGATATTTTTTCATTTATCATCAGACAGAGTGGGAGGGAGGGGGAGAGAGAGAGAGACAAACAGAGAGAAACATCGATGTGATAGTGCTACATTGACTGGTTGCCTCCTGCACAACCCGACCAGGGCTGGGGACAAACTGCAGCCGAGGTGTACATGCCCTTGATCAGAATCGAACCCACGACTCATTGGTCTGTGGGCCGACGCTCTAACCGTTGAGCCAAACTGGCCAGGTCTATTAGAAACCATTTTTCTTTTTTTTTATCCTCACCCGAGGACATTTTTCGATATTTTGTTCAGATAGAGTGGGAGGGAGAGAGAGAGAGAAACATCGACGTGAAAGCGACACATCGAGTGGCTGCCACCCGCACGACCCAACCAGGGCCGGGGACAAACTGCAACCAAGGTACATGCCCTTAGCGGGAACCGAACCCAGGTCTCTCTGGACTGCAGGCGGACGCTCTAACCGCTGAGCCAAACCGGCCAGGGCTAGAAACCATTTTAACAGAAAGTTTACATTATCAATTTTAATCTCCCATCTTATGTTTTTCATGTCTTTTCTGTCTTATATAAATCTTCATTAAATAAAATGTGTTAATTAAATAAACACATTTCTTCAATCCTACATTTATATCCAATTATTATTTTCTGTAACACTTCCTGAAAAAAAAATTTATTTTTCTTTATTGATGTTAGAGAGAAAGAGAGGGAGGGAGAGGGAGAGATAGAAACATAAATGAGAGAGAACTTGGATTGACTGCTTCCTGCAACACCCCCCAGTGGGGATCGATGGGCCCACAACCTGAGCATGTGATCTGACCAGGAATTGAACCTGCGACCTCTTGGTGCATGGGTCGACACGCAACCACTGAGCCACATTGACCTGGTTGAAAGT